CGTGAGATGGAAAACACGATTAGCGGAATACGGCCTGCGATTGAACGTAGCAAAGACCGACTACTGGAATGCGGAGAGCAAACCGATGGCACAATTATCATCGATGGGCAGCCGCTGAAGAAGGCCACGATATTCAAATACTTGGGCTCCCGAGTGACGTCGGATTGCGATACGATCACCGATGCTCGTGCTAAGACGAATGCGGCGTGGCTAAAGTGGCGGCAAGTAACAGTACTCTGCGACGCCGAATCCAATCTATTTCAAGTCGAAAGTGTATTGGACTGTACTAAGGCCAGTCTCCCTGTATGGAGCCGAGTGTTGGCCAGCAACTAGGAAACACGAGCAAAATCTGAGCACGATGAAGACGCGAATGATAGGATGGATACTCGGCATAACGAGAAGAAACTGCGTCATGAACGATGATGTGCGACACATTTTTGGTGTTGCACCTATCGCGGATAAAATGCGGGGTGCCAGATTACGATGGTATGGTCACGTTTTACGAAGTGGAGATAATACAGTAGCAAAAACAGCAAACATCACTTCGTCCAGATCCACAGGGGAAGAGACCACATGGCCGGCCGAAGCAACGCTGGTTGGACACCATTCGAAACGACCTACACATTGCAAAGCTCAAACCGCAAGAAGCAGCTGATCAAGTCAAATGGAAGCAAAAATGCACCACCGCCGGCTCTGCCCCGCGGGACAATGGCGAAGATAAAAAAGGAGAAGAAGAATGACCAGTGACCTCCTGCCTTTCGTATCATTATGTCATCTATAACCGCAGACTATATACAGGGTGTCCCAAAAGTGTGTATACACTTTTTGATCGTTAATATCTCTCTTTCCAAGTGAACCTCTGCTTTCCTTCAAGTGCCATTTGTAGAGTTGGCTTCAACTTAGATTCGCAGTATGCAGCGAACAGCCGATTCTTCTTCCTTACTGGATTATGGTAAAAACTTTTGACTTAGAGCGTCATTATGAGTGCTGTCATGCTTCAAAGAAAGTTTCCAGAAATTCTGAGAAGTGGGGTACCAGGAACTTTACGCGCGCTGAATTCACTGCTCAACTTTCTAAACGTCTGTAAAGCTTTTCAAACGTTGTAATCACAATTTTAGGGAGCATTGTAAAGATAGCTGTTTTGGTTTACCTGCTCAGACAGTCGGTGCCGTAGTCGCGGCGGACAGTCGAAAGCTGGCAGAGCCGCGGAGGACCCAACTGACCAATGAGAGCGGGGCGAGGGGGCAGTTCCTTCTTGTAGGTCACGGTGACGTCACAAGCAGGCGAATGGGACCCTTCTCCGGGACGCGCAAATCTCTGCTCCGGAGGTACGCCAGATTTGGGAGAGCCTCGGAGCAGAGATTTGCCCGCCGCGAGTCGCCAGATTTGGGACACCTCCGGAGTACAAAATGGCGGGGCTCCGGAGCACAAATGGGGGGTCTCCGGAGCACAAATAAGAGGGCCCCGGAGCAGAAAATGGGAGGCCGGAGCACAATAGTACGCAGCCAACTTGCTGTGATATGCAGCTTAGCATTTCAAATAAGCTGCCTCGCTCTCGACTTACTCTTTTTTTGTCGTTTCGCTCTCGTTTTTCTTTTTTTGGTTTTTCGTGTTACTCGTCGGCGCGTTGGCGTTTATTTGTTCATCTCCTTCTTTTCAGGTTTCAGGTTTTAATTTTCGTGCGGATGCACTTAGTCACTTTTAGTGCTTGGCTCTCGTTTTCGACTTACTGCTGTTCTTCCGTGTTTACACAGCAGGTGTGGTGACATAAAACTTGTGTAACCTTCTCCATTTTATCTAATATTACTTCCTATGCATTTTTAGGCAAGATGTTATATTTCAGTCTTTCTACGTCTGTCGTCCCCACACCCATCCCTATCGCACCCTTCCTCTCTCTCCAAATATCTGGGCTACAACCGTTCTCACCACTAAAGTGCGGTTCATAATTATACGAACACCCAAAATTTTGTAAGTTTTCGGACTTTTTGGGAGAAACTCAAAAAGCCGTTGGTACCACGCGAAAGAGCACAACCGAAAACGGTATATGACCCTTAAGAATGGAAATTGATGTCAATCTTAGGAGTGTTTTTGCGCCTAGTGCGAATTTTTAGCGGTTCATAATTATACGAACACCTCAAACAAAGGTTCATTTCTCATCCGCGGTGCAATCATTTGAGTCCAAATTTTTTGCAGAGTCACAGTAATAAGGTCTGAAAAACCTGCTACACACTGAACCCAGTGAAGTTCAAAAAAAGGACCATTACTTTTTTTCAGAAGGCTCTAAATGCTTTTGGAGTGATTGCGCTCCAAAAACATCCGTTCTTCTGTGGTTTACGCGCTCTAATTAGCTTCTGCCAAAGCTATGAGATAAAATAAGCCTCTTTTGATAGGTATCTTGTTTGGCGCTCCGAAAATCTTTGCATTTTTGTGCCTTTTTTCAACCAAGTTCCAACCTTAGCACAGAGTCAGCACGATTTCAAGCCTCAAAACTCAGCTTCTGTCTTGCGCAAACATTTGATATGAAGCAGCTGCATTGCTTGCATGATGATGTTTCTGTGCCAAAGTTTTTGGGGTTTTTGTAGGACTGATCTTGAGGCTGCGGAGCTGCAAACCAAGTAGAGGTGTGATTGCAATAGTAAAAACAGTGTTTTTGGTGAAATGACGTCTGCGTGGCCAAAACAAACGCTCAACGCTGCTGATTTTTTCTAGCCAAACATACAGTCTTGTGAACTTCTACATACTATATGCTTACTTCATTGTACGGCTTCAGAAGCGAGTTTTGAGGCTCGAAATCGTGCTGACTCTGTGCTAAGGTTGGAACTTGGTTGAAAAACGGCACAAAAATGCAAAGATTTTCGGAGCGCCAAACAAGATACCTATCAAAAGAGGCTTATTTTATCTCATAGCTTTGGCAGAAGCTAATTAGAGCGCGTAAACCACAGAAGAACGGATGTTTTTGGAGCGCAATCACTCCAAAAGCATTTAGAGCCTTCTGAAAAAAGAGACGGTCCTTTTTTTTGAACTTCACTGGGTTCAGTGTGTAGCAGGTGTTTCAGACTTTATTACTATAATTCTACAAAAAATTTGGACTTGAAGGATTGCACTTGCGAATGAAAAATGGACTTTTGTTTGAGGTGTTCGTATAATTATGAACCGCTAAAAATTCGCATTGGGCGCAAAAACACTCCTAAGATTGACATCAATTTCCATTCTTAAGGGTCATATACCGTTTTCGGTTGTGCTCTTTCGCGTGGTACCAACGGCGTTTTGAGTTTCTCCCAAAAAGTCCGAAAACTTACAAAATTTTGGATGTTCGTATAATTATGAACCGCACTTTATTGCTGTCGTCTTCTACGTCCTGATGATAGTGTTTTGCTGCATACCGTGCAGCTTGAGTAGTGACATCAAATTTACAAGGGTAAATGGCTAAAATTTGCCGTTTTCACAAGCAATGTTTTTCTATTCATAGTTATTTGATCCATACATCTCCGGCTCACCGCTGGATGCAGAATTCGCCTTGCATTTTTACAAGTAATTGCCTTGTTTCTGGAAGATGAGAACCTTTCTTTAAGCGCGGTACTCATTTTTCCTTATGCAATTTCTTATTGGCCTCGTTGAATTAAGTGCCGTAATGTTCTCTGCGCAGCAGAGTGGTAATCTTCTTTTGAGGCACTATCTTGTGGTTGCTCTGCAAGAATTACTGTAATGATACTGTAGGCTATGAATTATATTATCTATATTTTTGAAAAAGCGTGAGGTTTTTTTCAAAATATTGTCATTCAGGGGCCCTATTGCTTACTCTCTCAATGGATGCTGTGTAGTTTTATTTTTTCTGTGCTAGGAAGTGTGCTACTCATGATGAAGTTGGCGAGTTTATCTGTTGGACTCGTTTTCCTATCAGGGAGCATGGAAACATTTGCTGATGGTTTTTCTCTACATTGAGGTGCGTTAACGTCAAAACTAAAATGAGTGTTTCTTCACCTATCACCAGGGTAAAGCGGGGGGTGCGGCACGCCGCAGGGGGGGGGGGGGTCGTAAGGGTGGGGGGGGGGGTAAGTAGGGGGGGGGGTCGTATCGACCCAAGGTCAAAAGCGGTTTCTAAGGGGAAATGACTGCAGCTAAGTTCTTAGATGTGCCACGCTGTTGAAATCCTGCAAAATTCAAGCACAAACTTGCAGATACCGTATGCCTACCGTAACCTACCGTACCTCTAATCAAGCATAATTGTCGTAATCCGCGTGTCGAATAACCCCTATGCGCCAAGTTTCAGCGAACTCTGAGGTCTCCGAGCAGTAAACAACCTTGTATAAAGCAGTATTTTAAAACATGATTAACTTCGTCTCAACGGTGAGTAAGCTACCTCTTCTTGCACTTAATACAAAGCACTACTCCTTCTTTGTCCACCTCAGGAATCCCGCTTCAGAAGACCTCCAAACTATTGAATTAGAAAGCCAACCAAAATCGCTTTTAGCTTTTGATCGCTGTGCTTTCACCAAATATTACAGTAATATGAGAGCTAAGAAGACGAATCAGGCTCAAAACATCCCTATGGAATCTACGAGGTTTAGGCTATTGATTCATATAAATATTGTCCGCTAAAAATGTTTTTTTTTTGATATAGTTAATGGCCTGCGGCACCCCCCTCAAAACCTGCGGCTGCCGCAGGTTTTGAGGGGGGGGGGGGTGCCGCAGGCCATTAACTTACCTTCAAATCGTTCAAACAGCTGCCTTTTTCATATCATCCTATAAATTCATCCTTCCTCTCTCCGTAGTAGCTGTTTCCCCTCGAACCTTTTTCTTTAGAAGGAAATACATATGGTTTTTGCGAACCATATGCTGGGAAGTGTGGCCAAAAAATATTGGGTTACGGTAGCGCTCGAAAGATTGTCAAAACACACAGAGGCGCGAGATACGCGCCTTCGAATCCCAATCTCATCATCTTCTTCGCTCTACGTTTAGAAATACTAGCCATTACGTTATTTGCGCTTGTGCCTATCAGGATGGTGCTAGCTGATCTTGGTCGGCAAATCCGAAATGCCATCGGAAAGCTCGGGCAAGCTACCATTATCAATGAGGAAGAGCTCGATGCTATGCTCAAGGAGGTATCTTTTTTGTTTTATCCTGGAAATCAGATAGAAACTTTAGTAGGCTTTTGCTTGTTTGTAGTCCTTTGTTTTCTAGATGAAATCATGTAAGTTTAGGTTTGCATGGCACTCATCGAGTCGGACGTTCACATCAGACTGGTAAAGCAGCTCAAAGACAATGTTAAGTAAGTAGCGCTCGCTTAAAACAATCGCCTTTCTAAATTTTTGACCACAGCCTCTATTTAGGAATGCTATCAATTTTGAAGAGATAGTTGGAGTAAATAAGCAACGGCTCATCCAGAAGACCGTGTTCAACGAGCTACTCAAATTTGTGGATCCGGGCGTGACAGCCTATCAACCCAAGAAAGGACAGCCGAATGTGATCATGTTTGTCGGTCTGCAAGGTTCCGGTGAAACAACTACTTGTACAAAGGTAAACGTCAACCATCAAAAATCGAAAACTTTCATTGTATTTTTCAATTTAGATGGCATACTTCTATCAAAGAAAAGACTGGAAAACTTGTTTAATTTGCGCGGATACTTTCCGTGCTGGCGCTTTCAATCAGCTCAAGCAAAACGCTACAAAGGCCGGGATTGCTTTCTATGGTAAGTCATACAGCTCGCATTTTACTCCCTTTTACCGCCGAATCTCGACCTTAGTTTTTTTTCTTTTATGTTCCATTCTAAAGATCTTTTCAGTGATTTTCTTGTTTGATTTAGGTTCTTACTCTGAAGTGGATCCTGTTGTGATCGCAGTCGAAGGTGTGGAAAAGTTCAAGAAAGAGGATTTCGAGATCTTGCTTGTTGATACATCTGGTAGACACAAGCAAGAAACTTCTTGTTCGAAATGCTGCAAGTCTCGAATGCTGTGGTATGTCTAATCTTTCATCTTTTTCTTTCGCCCCTGTGTTTTTATATTTGCTATTTTCCGTTCAGAACCCAGACAATGTCGTTTTCGTATGGATGCGTCTATCGGTCAAGCTTGCAAAGCGCAAGCTCATGCCTTCTCATAAACGTCGATGTGGCCTCAGTCATCATCACTAAGCTTGGTTCACATGCTAAGGGTGGTGGAGCATTGTCAGCGTGAGTTCGAGCCTATCGTTAGTTCTCTGTTCTTTTGAAGCTATGAGCTTTTCCAGTCTGAATCGCTCTAATTACTTCTAATGCTTACTTCGGCGTATAAACCCAAAAGATGTTTTATCACGACTTAGACGTCTGTGCAGTTTTTCATGGGAAAATTTACTCAGGTAAGAACGGTGACATCAATCCGAAGAACATCAATCCTGCGCAAATGATGAAGCTGAACCAACAAATGGCTAAGATGATGGACCCACGGGTATTGCAACAAATGGGCGGAATGGGTGGACTGAAAAATATGATGGCGCAGTTGCAAAAGGCTGGCGGTGGCAAAGGCGGTAGATTGTTTTAGTTGGTCAATTACCTCTCAGATCTTCTTTCTTGAGTCTTCATTCTCTATGGTCTTCTTCTTGCATATTTTGCCTTTGTATATTTTTGCCATCATATATTGGTTTTGGTATTCTTTGCTTCCTTTACCTGTATGGACTTTGGCGTTTCATCAGTAAGGTATCATGTTGCCGTTTGATAGCAATCTGTCATTCGAACAAGTAGTTATTTACTCATTTTATGAACATTCACTTCTGAAGTGATTTTCCTAGTCTAGTGACTATCAGGTCAATGTTATGATTATCCGTTGTGGTGTTTCACGTCAGAATTGTCCTCAGAGCTCTTTGATGTATATAAGGCGAGGTTGAAATTGGTCATTTCATTCATGTGTACCTTTAATGTTGTGATTCTTTGAGATTTTGCAAGAAGTGAATATTTGGTGTCAAAGTTTCCCATACTGCATTCGGTCAGTTCTGAATTACTTGTGCTTACTCAGACAATCGACGGGACCCCTCCGCCGGACAGTCCGAATCTGCCAGAGTCGCGCCGGACCCAGTTGACCAATGAGAGAGGGGCAAATGGGCGGTCCGTCGCGGTGACATCACTGGCAGGCAAGTGGGAGGCTTCTCCGGCCCTGCTGCAAAGGTCCGCCATTTCTCCGGCGCGACTCTGCCAGATTTGGCGGACTCGCGCCGGAGAAATTTGTCCGGCGCGAGTCCGCCAGATTTGGAAGAGCCGCGCCGGAGAAAATGGGAGGGGTCCGGAGCAGAATTGGGAGGCCTCCGGAGCAGAAAATGGGAGGTATCCGGAGCAGAAAATGGGAGGTATCCGGAGCAGAAAATGGGAGGTATCCGGAGCAGAAATGGGAGGGCCCCGGAGCAGGCTGCGTATCGATTTGGCGCGTAGCCACGCTGTGAGATTTTGAGACGTTCTTAAATGCGCGCTATCTAGACTATCTAGTGTTGTTGTGATAAAAGTATCGTCTAAATAATCCGTTTATTGCTATCTCCACCGATGAATCACTTTGCCGTTCATTGCATGCCGATCTCCTCGTATTTTCGGTTGTGATAGTTGTTCACGATTAGTCGTGTTGGAAAACTATCACAACCGAAATGCAAGATCGGCATGCATATGTTAGTTGTTTTGTCGGGATCAGTCGCGACGATGAAATCGCGTGAACTCTGCCCGGGCCTAACACTGTTCCTACTGTTATACGCTGTCCTCACCAGTCGCTGAGTACTCATTTGGAGAAATAAGAATAATAATGTAATGTAATGTTGATCATTCCATCGTCTAACATCAGTAGCAGCGGTAATAGCGATGATGGTTGATCGAACCCTGAAGAATTTTGTAATTTAAGTTTTTTTCAATACTTGAAAACTTGGCCACGATATTACAGGTACATGGCAAAAAGAAGGTCCTTTCTCAACACCAAAGATTGACCCTGCAAGGACGGAGCGTTCCTTTATGGAAGGAAGCACGAAACTGGATTCGTCGCGGCTCTCCAGCGCACAAGTAAGATCTTTTTGTATAACTTCACACATTTTCTAGCTTAAAATTTTCTTTAGAAGGTTAAGCATCCTCCAAAGTTACCTTACAATGTTCCTGAACCGAGGTTTTCCGATATATCTTTCATACGTCCAAGTGATGCAACTTTCTCTGTCGACCAAGGAGGTGCAGGCAACATTGGTGGGTGATATTTACTTGTGATTTACTGTTCCTGTACCATTCTGCTTATGTAATCAAAATGCTATTGGTTATAATGTTTCCCAGTTTTATTCATCTAATCTTTTACACACTGTTCGACTCAAAAATCAAAGTAGTCATAGGCATTGTCAGTTTTTTAGTTGCGAATTCAGCTGTGGGTCTAACTTTTCGGATAAAAGGAGATGGGAATAGGAGTACTATCGTTTTGATGACTTGTTTTGAGCACCTTACCTCTCTTCGCTGTCGTATTTCTTTGCATTTGCATCTTTCTAACCTTGTAGATGTCTTTTCGCAGAGCAATCATCCTCTTTTACATGCATCACCAAGTTCAAATAGCAAAATTGATGGTCTAAAATTTTCCAAATGGCGCTAATCCAATCCGTTCAAAAATGTTTCTATGCTCTCTACAATTCATTTATCTTAGTGAAAATTATTGCATTATAGTTGAGAATTCGCACTCGCACTTCTTGCTTCACACCTGCTTATTTTGTTATTTTGTGGAAACAGCAAAAGCAAATTCGATCATCAACCACAATCCGAGTATGTTCACAAAATCTTCGTCGTTCAAGGTAAGTCAATAACTCTAGATTTGATATTGGTGAATTTGACTTCAGTGTATGGATGATGTTTTCGCCGAGTTGAGCCGAGAAGTTTTGTCTGGAAGTGGAACACCACTTAACAAAGCATTTGCGAAGATGGGCTTCAGGCCAACTTACAAGCAGGTAAGCACTTAAGAGGAATGAACCTATTATTTTTCTTTCTCATTCAGTTGCTGATGATTATAATTACACGGTCAAGGATTTTTCGGATCTCACCGACGGAGTGATTTTGGGGTGGGTCCCTAGTAGACTTTTTGCACATGTTTTCTGCAAATGATTATTAATTGCAGTAAAATCATTGAGTTGGTGACTGGATGTCCGCCTGGCAGCCTCATCTCTCGCCTACGCAATCCAGGGGGAGACCGTTTGAGAAAAATTGGCAATGTAAAAGTGTGCTTGCAAACTGCTTGCGATAGAGGAGTAGACCTAGGAGGTAGGTTCTGTCTTGCGATTCTGTAAACAAGCTTCCAATCGTGTGCTTTCAGCGGTAAAAGCAGAAGCAATTACGGGAGCAAACAAGGAAGCGATTTTGAAGGTTCTATGGAGGTTGGTGGGAGTATACGTGGTAAGTTTCATGTTTAATGCCATCTCACAAGGATTCTGCGTTGTCCATCTTGTAGAAGCATTAATGACCAAATTAAAATCATTTTCTTAAGTCTCAGAGCTTACGTTATTCTTTTGTTTTATAGGGAGCAGATGAGGAGCGCGATTTACGACGAGCATCTCTAGCACTGGCTCATCAAAATAACAAATTCAATCTTGGCGCTGTTCCCGATGACATCAGTGGAGAACAATTCGTTCTTCACATATGCAAGCAAATAGATAATATGGGCCAACTGCGACTGCAATTTAAACTGTTCCACAAACCGTTGTTTGGTTGAAAAGGTTCATTCTTTTACACCAGTGGGTGTGAAATGATTTACGATATAAGATGATTTTTCTAAGAAGTTTGAAAAATTTGAAATAAATGTCTTATCTCTTCGTTCTTTCTTCTATCTTCTATCCACAAACGCTAGGGGTGAGAGGGAGGGGGTAGAGTAGGGGTGAGGGTCGCGCTGAACTCCTACCCGGGGGGGGGGGGGGAGGGTCCTATTCGGCTAATTTGGGTGGGGTTTAGAGACAAAATTGGGGTTTGGAGCTTAAAGGCAGCGTCCAGGCAAGTCTGGACCTATGGGGATTTTACCTGGAAAGTACTTTTGGGGCCCTAACTAAGCCACTACCCAACCGGCAGCTCAGGTACTGCTGTAACGCCTGAGATATTCTGCTCGAAACTGGATCCTGCGACCGTGTTTCGCATGGATTCATGGCGCAAAGCGTGGATCCTGGCGCGAAACTGCCATGAATCCATGCGAATACGCTCGCGGGGGCCAGTTTCGAGGGGAATATCTCCGCCATTAGAGCACTACCTGAGCTGCTGCTTCGGCAGTGCCTTAGTTAGGGCCCCAAAAGTACTTTCCATGTAAAAGCCCCATAGGTCCAGATCTGCCTGGAAGCTGCCTTTAATTAGGGCTAATTACAGTATGCCGCGGCAGACTTGCGGAGCACAAAATCGGAAGGCTCCGGCGCACAAAATGGGAGGTATCCGGAGCAGAAAATGGGAGGTATCCGGAGCAGAAAATGGGAGGTCTCCGGAGCAGAAAATGGGAGGTATCCGGAGCAGAAATAGGAGGTCTCCGCCGGAGAAATGGGAGGGCTCCGCCGGACAAATGGGAGACCCACCGCTGGGGAAACGGCGCGACCCTGCCATTTCTCCGGCGGAGGGGTCCTATCCGCTGTCTGAGTAGCACTTTCATTTACATTCTTCATAACCTTCCAAGAGCTGGTTCGATGATCACTTAATTTTAATGGGAACTTGACAAATTTAGAAGAGTTCTATCTTGCTTTGTTTTTGTTTACCTACAGTAAATGTAACATCGTTGTGATACTTCCGAAGCTCAAAAATATTCCGGAACTACTTCTCAAGAGGAATTTGACTTGATGGTTTTCAAATTTACCTTCGCAGACGTTCCGGCAAACGAGAGCAGCACCAAAGGCGGGAGGGGGAAGGGAATGGGGGGGGGGGTCGTGCCGGGGTCCGGACTAAGGGGGGGGTCGTATCCGACGGTCGTGTGCCACACCCTCCGCTTTACCCTGCCTATCACTCATCCTTAGAACAGGCATGAAAATAAGGAAAAAAACATCTTTGCATTCTATTATCAGTAAGTTGTCCATGTGTTTTGCTTCATTAGAAAGACGATTTGAAGAAGTGCTTTAGTAGTCCAAGATGTTGGTTCTGAACTTCCTTTTGCATTTGGTGTGCAATGCCTCAACTTTTCGGAAATGCTTCTCTTACAGATGTGCATCAGCCCACGTACTGGTACTCAACTGGACTACTTCATCTTTCTAATGATGGTGGGACGTCTCCTCAGCTCTGCTCTAGCTACATTGATGCCATCTATAGGCGCAGATCAAATTATCATTGTTGTTCTACTTTCAATGCACCACTTATTGTGTTATTTCCGCTTCTTGGTAATCGCTTCGGAAGGCGGTCAGGTACAGTCTTTTCATTAGTTTTTGTGGGAGTTTATAGTGCATTTGCCGATGTGGCAACATTTTTGGGATAACAAATGCATAGTAAAATACAATCGATGATATTATTCCAGTGTCGCATTTTATCTCCAGTACCGGTTGCTGGTTGGATTAATGCTGGTTGCGTTCAGCAAAGTAGCTATGGGAAGACATTATGTAGCTTTGCAGCTTGCAGTATTTGCAGTCATTTTGAAGTAAATTCTTGTCTCTTCATTCCTCTGTTTTCTATCTACAAGCGCTAGGGGTGAGAGGGAGGGGGTAGAGTACGGGGGTGAGGGTCGCGCCGAGGTCCTACCCGGGGGGTCGTATTCGGCTCATTTGGGTGGGGTTTATAGACATGATTGGGGTTTAGAGCTCAATTAGGGCTAGTTACATATGCCGCGGCAGACTTGCGGAGTAGAAAATCGGAGGGGTCCGGCGCACAAAATGGGAGGGCTCCGGAGCACAAATGGGAGGTCTCCGGAGCACAAATGCGAGGGCTCCGGAGCACGAGTGGCAATCCCCAGCTAAGGAAACCCCGCGGCTCTGCCATTTCTGCTCCGGAGGTATGCCGTCGACTGTCTGAGTGGCATAAATTTTGAAGTGGTTAAACGCAAAGTTCATATTCGGTTTTAGCGACTCTAATTAGTCTAGTGAAAGAGCTTCCAGATTGTTTGGTTTGCTCTGTAAGGCGAAATAGGGTTCTCAATGCTCAAAACCCTTCTTGAAGTTCTTTCTGTAATCCTACAATAATGAGGAAAGGTCGTTGTCTGCTCCATACTGTAAATCTAATAGTAAGTTGAAGCTAATTTTACGAAATGGATCTGAAGGCAGGCAAAAGACTTCTAGGGGAAGAGAGATATCAACGAACAAACAGTGTACACATACTTTTGGGATACCTTGTATAGCTTTGACTCACTGAGCACCATCTGTGATGTCCCTCACAGTCGTAGGGACTACTAAGTCCACGGTGGACTGAAGGTTGATGACTCCCCTCTTATTGTTAGATTTTTTCCAGTACGTTGTACCTAAACAAGGTCTGAACGCCGCACGTTAGAGAAGGCGTCTGGTCGTATAGACTGACGAATACAAAACTGCAATCACTTTCAGGCCTCTGAACAAGACGATACTTTCGAAATGTTGGGCAGTAAAGTTCTAACATAAAAACCCTTTCTGGCACAAAATCAAAATCGCAAAGCGAACTAATGCCGGGGTTCAAATAAGAGAGCACATGGAAATCCGGTGAGTCATTTCTAGCGTAGCAAACTGAAGAAATGCGTACTTCTAACTGACGCGTATTATAGTTGAAACGACCGAAAATTTCTTCGAACGAATGAATATCGAATGATCGGTTCTTGAAAAACATTCGAACGAACGAATATTATTCGATGTGTAAATTTCAAATTATTCGAATTCGAATATTCGAATTATGCTACATTTCAAACCTCGAATGAACGAATATTCGAATAGGGGTTGGTCGAATATTCGACTATTTAAATAATCGAATAATTGCATATGGTCGAATATTCGAATGATCTAGCGGCTCAAACAATGCTGGTTTTTTCTTTGTTGCACTTTTTTGCAGTTGCTATATTTGATCTAGATTTGTGCCGATAATTATATGCAAGTGGTAAGGATAACTGGGTTATTGTCGCTTGATCAGGGTTCCACCTAGGAAACAGAAGAATACTCAAACATGAAGTTCAAGGTGTTCATTTTGTTTGAAGATGGCTACTAAGCCTTACTTAGTAACCATTTCAAGTCCACATCTATAATTCTTCACAGAAGTTTCTCCCGAGGCTACACAGATTCTCCCAAAGCTACAGATTCAACATGGAAAACTTTTCAGAATAGGTAGTTGTTTGTATTTTAATCGTGATGGTGAGCATTGCGTGAAATCTAAGACTAGCAGTGGGAGAGCACGAGGAATAATTGTAGTAATAGGATCAGTGAACCTCGGCAGCAGAGGTGACGCACTGTCGTCTACATGATACTTTTGTGGGCATCTAAATCTGGAAAAGGAAGTCATGTAAATATCTGTATATTAGCTGCTAAATTAATACTTGCCGGAAATTATCAATCGTTGAGTTTCACAGTTTCTATTTTAGGACTGAATTTTCAAAAAGTTGTTTTGGCTGTATTTTCGAGGTTTGTACTTTTGTTGTAAAAGATCTTCCACCTTACTCAACCTAAACTCTTACTCGAATATTACTCCTCCATAAACTTTGCAACATTCTAACACTAGTTTTTTTACGCCTGACCACAATGGCAGCCGATTTGAGTATGGTGACTGACATACAGGCTGCCGCCACAAGTCAAGCGACTCAGGTCCTCACGGCCGCTTTGCTCTGGCCTTGTGCTGGTTAACGTATCCTTCAGGTATTTTGACATGCGGGCGGTGATTAGGCTAGCAAGGTATGTGGAGATCTCGGGATGAAGAATGAATGCTGCCATTATGTGCTGCCTTAAAGGACTGCTGGTCCTTCACATGCTTATGCAAGCTGTTTGAGGACCATGGTCCATTAAAGGGCGCCTAGACGGCTTTACTCTTCAACCAATGCAAAGCTTGGAAGTATCTTCGCATGATATCATCTCAACCTCTCAGACGCGATTTCCAGAAAATAGCCCACACTCCAAATGAATTATGATAAAACTTGTTATCACTGTGCTCTGGCACGACTCGCGACTCGTGCATTGCTACAGTCTGTGTCAATTACGTACCCCCTTATGCAAAAGATTATGCATGACAACACAGAAACGTTGCTTGCGGACCTCCAATCATTGAGGCCAACTAATGTCAAATTACATATATGCGCGCGAATGTGGCGCGAAGCTCTGGGGTGGCGATTGCGCTTATGAGGAAGGGAGCACGTGATTGACACAGAGTAGCCATTCTGTCCTATGATAATTCACTTGTATGACTGACCGACCTGGGACATACCTGCGCTTAAAGTAGAGCATGTTCTCTTTTGACATCGAATGTTCGAATGAATGGCCTGTATTCGAATAACTGTCTTCCAAATTGGCTCGAATATTTGAATATTCAAGTAACTGTCTCGTAAAACTTCTCGAATAAACGAATATTCGAATTTATTACCCCAAATCGTCGAATGAACGAATTATTCGAATACAGGCCATTTTCATTTATTCGACTATTCGAATAATCGAATAACTGGACTTAATATTTGACATTCGAATATTCGGATGGTCGAATATTTCGAATAAATTATTCGAACACGAATATCTGGTTCTAACTATAACGCATGTGTAATAAAACCAGAGGAGATAAGGAAACATGGGAAGATTAGTAAAAATGGGTAGGTGACATACATTAATTGACCAACATACAAAGGCCGAACAATAATACACTTCGGACAAGATTCGCATTAGAGTGCCCATCTTATTCGTAGCACCTTATTTCCGGCTTATTTGCCTCCAGCTATTTTGTTAAGATAAAATTAACAAAATCTTCTCTTTTCACTTTCATTTTCACTATTTTCATCCTAATTTATACTAGAAAAGCAATGTTTTCACTGAAAGTTAGAGAATCGCTTTTCGTTTTGGTTTCTCATGTACCTGGGGTTATTTTTCATGGTGATTCCGAATACAATATGCATTTGCGAGGTGACTACCGCTCGTGGCATTTGAGTGTCCTTATTGAAGCTTCTTGCTGAAGTGTTTATTTCTTGCTGTCATACGCGAAAACTTATTTATGCCCTCGATGATTTACGGTTGAAGATTGCATATGTTAATTGACATTTTTTTCACATGACACTTATTACTATACGACAGCTACAGCTACAGCTGAAAATCCACTCTTTTCTCCAATTGAATCGGAGTTGAAGTCCACAAACATCTCGTTCAAAGTTGAGGTGAATGTCTTTTTGCCAGCTGCTATCTGTCCGCTGAATCTGAAAACAGAAATCGAAGTGGTCATTGTTGGAATGAGTAGAGTCAATATCTGAACAAATACTCGGTGCTTGAGTTTCTTAAGTGGATATTGATCGGTAGAAAATGAGATATCTGCCCAAGCGGATCACACCGCAAACCGAGAAATCCATTTATGAATCTTCGCCCAGTACCGTACCCCCCCCCCCCATGCGGGCCAGTAATCATCATTTGTGGTACTAGACGTAAATTTAGCCATAGATTTTTTTTGGTAACAAATGAATCGCATGAGTCAAAAGCGTGATTGGGTCCCCTTAAAGGCAGCGTCCATCAGACTGAGATGACCTGGCTCTGGTAGTAATTTATTAGTAGACCCCGTAACTAAGCGACGACAGAAGTTTGCAGTGCGAAAGGCCGTCACGCAGTCACCAAGTGACCCGGTCTTGCGGTAGGCTCGGGCGAGTACGAGATACACGCAGGGTAGATACGCAGAGTCGTTGCGGGACCCTGCGCTTGACTGTGTGTGCTATGCGTGCTCTGGCCTTGCAGTTCGAAATCCCTGTGCGGGCGGCATTACGGCCTACCTTAAGATCCGTGCCTCTTTCGGAGCAAATTTCAGATTTGATAGACCCCCTTTTTTGCTTCGAACTCAGTCTTCGCTTAGGTAGCTGGTCTCCTTTAACACGCCACAAAACCCGGCACCCATCTTTTCGCCGGGACGCTGCCTCTAAGCACTATCCACATAAGGCAGTATACTTTACATAAGAAGTCCGGGTACCCGTTCCTATTTTAACGCTCATTCTAAGGATGCAACATCTTACCTGCCCAATAAAACATAGTATGGTGTGCCATCATAGTCGTAAACGTCAATGATATCGCAACATTGCTCAGTGTCTATCGCTCCAAAAGTCAAACGTATCCTGAATAAGACTTTCCTTGATCACCCATGGTGACCATATCTCTAACTTGCCTGTGCTTACTATCGGTTGTCAGTTGATAACGACATTGCATCAGAGCTGGGTAATTTCTCGGATAATTTGGGCTTGTGATCTAAAGAATTATCTGTGAATTCTTATCATTTATGAACCGGAAACTCTTACATTGATAGGTGCAACAGAATTTTGGTTGCAACCACTAGGATTGGTTGGTGACGGCGTGATGGTGACCATGGGCGAAGTTGTTATCACTGAAATCGTCCTATCTCAGTTTGTGATTAGTTTGTTGAGGCTGTTGCACACTTTTTGTCAGTTGATATCTATCACTTCGACGTACTTACACAAAAGAATTTACACTATCTTCCAAAATTGTCTGTTATTGGATCTTAGTGTCACAACAGCCGATTCAAGCGCGACGCGTCAATGCCTTTTGTGGAGCATTACAAGAAATGCAGCGTGATAATATACCGCTCCAATTTTTTTTCGAAATGGTACAACCAACAGCAGGTTGTATGGAAAATTTAAAGACTATTACTCTATTCTTTCTAGAGCAAAGATCATGAGGCTTTGAGGCATCACCAAAAGCGGTCCGTGTGCTAAGTGCCAACCCCGCTCCAGCTCCGTGAGCGTGCCTCATATTGATCGATTCCTACACGCCCCTATAAGGGCGCTGGTACGGACGCTCTGAACATAACGTGAGGCATCATGGTGGATAGACTACGCACCGCCGTTCTTTCTTGACTTTCAGTTACCAATATTAATTGTGGCACATGCTTGTCAACAGTTCTGTTAGTTTACCCCGATCGTGACTAACCATTCTCCTTTGGAGAAAAATTCGCTTCCCATCTGTTGATTCCATCACCATCACTCCCAGCTACAAAGATCATCTTCATCACATTTGATGTTGATGTGAAATATTGAGAAGATGAGACACTTGTTGTTATACTGTAAAACGAGTTTGGTAAAATTCTGAAAGAAATTTTCAATTTTCCTTGCCTACTTCATAAATGGTGTAGAATCAGTGATCGAGTTGAATAGTCCGATGCTGCTGCTTTGGCTGAGCTGGAGATAAGCAAAGTGGAGCTGCACTACTTTTTCTTGTTCGACTGTGAGAATATAATAACATGCTTTGGAGTTATGGTAGGAGTTCGGAAAACCAGGCGAGTAAAACTGGAATTTGTCAGTTTGACGACAAATTTCTGGATAGGAGTTTTAGAATTGTGTAGTTTACGGTTCCGTTCTGATCCATGGAATAAGGGGAACTGCAGGTTAAAGGAGCTAGAGTCACAGGTGTTGTTACTTCTGGAGTTGTAGACTTAAAGCAGTCACCTTCTGGAAAAATTGTAGATATTTAAGAAAGAGTGCGATGTCCGCGGACCACTACCATAAACCAAGCCATGTGACCCCTCTCAGTTAGTACCAGTTGCCTGCGCAGACGGACCTTGACCGGATTATTCGTTCACATACCCCTTTTGCAGATAAATGGTAATTGCTGTGTACACGAAACGGACATCCATTCTCCGCGGGATACCACATCATCTATAGCTGACAGTGCTATACATTCGCCAATCGTTGAGCTGCTGTATCCTGAAGACATTTAGTGTTGTGAGGGGAACACAGTATATTTTTGGAAAGAAGTACTGGGAAGAGTGAGGGAGGATAATTGCACAAAAACTGGTATAGTTGATTTGTTTGCGAATCGAGGCTGAACTCCCGCGAGCATGTCTCTTTCGGGCTAACTTTGGCATTCGCCGAGTCTCGTACTCGACAGCCGCGTTGCAGATACGCTCGCGTCGTTCAGCCTACAGCGACCCGCGCGACTTCGTGCAGTCGACTTTACATAGCAATGGCGGAGCCTCCCCCCCCCACTTCCTTCACTCCAGAGTGATTGGCGAAATTCAATTTGCCTAGTTGAGATAGAAATAAGATACAAAAGTGAGATGATAAATGAGACGATATAAATGAGATGGAGATACAAATGCAAACAATTTGATTACAATCAAACATATTCTATAACCTCTATGTTATAGAATTTGTTCGGTAGTTACTTAGTCGCTGCTAAAGGGATTGTCCAACTGCGATTGTTTATTAATCTTGGCGTTGATAATAGCTTGAATTTATTGAGCGTAGGCCAAAATATTAGATTGATGCAAAAATAATGAGCGTTTTCCTAGGACTTTTTTAGGACAACTTTTGTCCATCAAACGTCTTTCTTTTCAAAGGTTTCAGCACATTGTTAGAAAGCTCTTCTCATGCTCTATCTGATGATGTTTGAAAGGAGCTTCTAGCCACTCTGTCAAGAATTTATAGAGCTTCACATAATCGCACTCAAAATTAGATTTTCGTTGCATTTTTCTGGCCAGAATTTGAGCGCGAATGAAGGTGGTTTATCAAAAATTTAGTCGCTATATGTAATGGAAATTGTCTACATTATGCATATTCAACCATATTTTTTCAAGTTATCTAAAGTGAGATATCGGCGGCTTAACATGAGTAATGGTTGTGGTCATTTTAGAGCCCATAACAGTCCATAACTTTCTTTTGTAGAATGCAGTCGCTCAAACTTTGCTCATCTCTGTGAGCGTGAGGGTAGGAGTCCCATCAGCGATTTTGCAAAAACATCCAGCTTTTCAGTACGCAGAAAATTAAAAAATCCTCTACTTCTTTTTTGAGGCCTACTGAAAAAATGCTAAAAAAAATGTTGATATTTTTAAATTTCGATTTTTCCCTCTTCGCTAATCTGTTTTCTTCAGCCGTTTCCATGCATATTTGTACTACTGGTTTGCGGCTACAAGATAGGTTGCTTATAAATCATAAGAACAAAGTGTAAAAGGAGTTATGTTCTGTCAAAAATAAGGCTTCAAAAAAAACCTGTTTGTTTTTCAATCCATATTTTTCTGCCCATATGAGATATGAGTATAGTTCAATGTGCGCTGTACTGCGAAAGTTTGCTGCATCTGATGGTCTTTATCACATTTCAAAATGTAGATTTTGGAGAAAGTTATAGCAAGTTGAAGTGAAAAATGGGAAAACGCTCATTATTTTTGCACCAACTTAATATAACCACCAGGGCCCGGCACGAGGTGGGCAAACGGGGTTTTCCAAAACGAATTCCCCTTTGATCCCAATAAATTTTACGAATACCCCTTTAAGCCCAAAAATGACGTTTTGTGCTTGTGCGACGAGATTACTGGCCACACTTCGCCCAAAAGCGCTCAAAAGCGCCCAAATTGCTCAAATTCCTCAAATTACTCCTCAGCTGTATCAAGATAGGAAACAGGAAGAAAAATAAGCAAGAAAAATGATTAAGGAATGAGAAAATATCAAAGAAACGCAGTCATAGGAATGAGAGTCGCTGTTCCCGCGCGTATCGATTGACTGGGGCGCGCTTTCCATCTTAGAAAGCTAGGCTGCTGATGCGATTTTGGGCTCTAACAAGGACAAGAGGAGGAGTTTCGGAACCAAAATTTCACCATGTAGTAAACTTTAGGTGTACAACAGATTTATGTAAAAATTTTGAAAAAATTATGTGAATTGAGAGTTTTGCCGACCTCAGGTGGGAATTAGGTCGGCAAATGCCGACCTAATTTGGAAATTAGTTAAGCACGCTCTTCATTCACATAAGTTTTTCATAATATTTCATACTTTATTACTTAGTCCTATTGCGCATATACACACCGAATCCCGCGCGATTTCGTTACCTCTGCGTTGCAAACGAGCCATTTTTCCATTTCTTTGGTAACGCAAAATTTTCAGAAAAAAGTTTGCCACAACCTTCAGTCACATATTTTTCCAACGAAATTCCTCAGTTAAGCCCTGCAAGCCCGTATGCATATACTTACCAAGTTTCATACCATATCGTTCATCTGCGCTTTTAAACGAGCCGTTTGAATTCACATCTTCATTTACCAGTTTTGCGAAATTCTCGGAAAAATGCTAATTACTCGTTCCGTTCACATAAGTTTTTTATAATTTTTCATACTATGTTTCCACTAGCCTCTCTCCGTTCGCATACAAAATTTGGTGTCATATCGTTACACATACATTGAGAACTAGTCATGTATGCTTTTACAAATAGCGTCGCTTGGGCGACGTCGCGCGTGCGGCAATTAGCGACGGCGCGGTTTGACGCGCGCGAACTCCAGTGTTCGCCTGTTGAGGCACATAACATGTCAAGATAAGTAGCGAGCATGAACTACCAATTTTTTTTCGGGGCTCCGCCCCGGACCCCGCAAAAACGATTACCCCTTTGCTTTTTGGCCCCAAAAAGATTTCCAGCTTGTCATTTGCCGACCTCGTGCCGGGGGCCCTGATAACCACACTTTATTCACGGCTAAGGTTTCGACGGGATCGCACGTCAAAGCCTAGAATGTCGAAAACATAAGCAAAACGTTCTTTTATACGCCAAGATCCTAGCTCAAGACGAAAGTCAATCTGGAGAGAGTACAAAAAGCACAAAGATTTCCTGATGACCAAGGCTCATCTTAGATAACGATGATGATGTGCTAGACCACCATATAATCAGATCATACCTCCTCCCCTATACATAGTGCTCGGGTAATCTGACCTAATATCAAAACCCACAGAGGTACTCTTCCTTCCGGGTGATCCAGACCTCCAAAGTTTTGCGCGCAGGAGCGTACGCTAATATATCACTCCAATACAATTAAAGTATGGTTAATATCTTGGTCTCCGCTCAAAAAGCTCAAGCAATTGTCGGCTATCAAAAGTCTTTGAGTTTTGAGTTTGTCTCGTTTTCTCCCTTCCCTCGCAAGAATTTTTCTGCTCCGTCAAATATTTATGGAAACTAATTATGGGAAAGAAAATGGGAAATGATGTATTAGGTTGTCCGGGAATTAATACAGGTTTTGAATTCTACCTGCAATAAGTCATACACTTCTCATTTTTAAGTAGGTCGCAAAACAATATTTCATAGAACAAAGCAAGCTCTACAAGACGGCTATCTTGCTTTAGCAACAGCTCTGATCCACTACGAGTTTCGAGACAGAAACTAAAAAGATTCAACGCATGAAAAATTGAGAAAAAATCGCAATTCAGTTCATAAAAATCCTACAAAAATTCTAAGTTGCTCAGGTAAACACACTCCACATGTGGCATCTAAATAAGCCTTTGTCGTATTTTTTATCCTGTTAGAAATTAAGAAAACGGAAATTTTCGTGCATTTGCCAAAGTGATATTGTGCCATTCCCACATAAATAATTGTATACTACAAACCTGTAGAAGTACAAACGTAAATTTGCAGCTCTCTATAAACATCGAGAAATTTGAATTTTAGCCTAGACCACATGACAAGGGAAATCTGTATTCGATATTTCTCGAAAACTAAAGCTTATAGAGAGCTGAAAATTTACGTTTGTACTTCTACAGGTTGTAGTATACAACTACTTATGCGGGAACGGCACAACACCACTTTGGCAAATGCACGAAAAATTCCGTTTTCTTGATTTTCAACAGGGAAAAAATACGGCAACGGCGTATATAGATGCCTCATGTGGGTTGTGTTAACGTGAGCAAGTTAGAATTTTTGTAGAATTTTTATGAACTGAGTTGCGATTTTTCTCAATTTTTCAAGTTGAATCTTTTGAGCTTCTGGCTCGAAACTTGTGGTGGATCAGAGCTGTTGCTAAAACAACATTGCCATCTTGTAGAGCTTGCTTTGTTCTATCGAATGGTGTTTTGCAACCTACCTGGAAATGAGAAATGTATGACTAATTGCGTTGGAATTCAAAACCTGCATTAATTTACGGACAAACTAATGATAAGGTTACTTAAGGCAAATTCGTTTCAGTATTTTTCTTGAATTGATCTTAAAACAAACTCACCTATGTTATTGTAGTCGAAAGTGGTATTATCCGACCAAGCAAACATTTTGCCGTTTGTCTGCAATCCAACTCGAACAAAATTCACATTGCCAGTGTATCTATCCAAAATCATTTGATTTTCCTGTAAATATTTCTTTTCAGTTCCCACTAGATATAAGAGGCACTCACATCTACGCTATGGATAGATACAAGGTGCCCGCATTCGTTTTGACACTGGGATTCTGCATCAATCTGCGGCAGAGTTTGGTTGTAGCCTTTGTAGCAATAATCGCCATAGTGGTCGTAATCACCACAAGATGCTAAAAAGTGAGGTACTATTAGGATGGTTAATTTTGCACCAAAATTTTCGAAATACTGTCACTTTCTTCAGCTTAAATGAGGTCCTCTGATTTGATAGACAAAAAAAGAAAAACTTGCGCTTCAAGAATCTAAATAAAAATTCCTTAAGGGGCATATGGCTGATTAAGAGAAATTAAAAAGAGATTTTTCGACCTTTTTTGATTGCTAAAATTGCTAAAACGTCTACTGAAATTCAAATTCATTTTATTTTTGATTTTATGACCTACTCTTTCAGATTAGAAAAAGTTGGCGGTGATCGGAGAATAGTTATGAATTTTGTTTTTTTTTTCAAATCCACTTATTATTTTTGTTCCATACTGGTTTCCTAAAATGTACTATGAATTAATACTTTTGATATGCATAACAAAGAGCATATCGTGTAAATTGACTAATTAGTTTAAGCACTTTTAAAATGGTTCTTTTCTATTTTTGGTGTAAGATTTGTGAATCAACACAGTCATCCACAACAGTGACTTGTCAAAAAAAAAACTGGGCATATGGTAAAAACAAAATAAATTTGCTTTCACCGTCGCATCGTGCTACTCCAGACTGTTTTTTCGAAATAAAAAAGTACTCATAACACCTCGATAAAGCGATTCCAGTGATTGCGCTGACCTATCTGTGGCTAGTGTCAAACAAACACCCTCTCATCCGACTCCATGGTGGACTGATAAATTTTGAGATCAATCTACTGGGTAACAAATTCATGCAAAAAAATTTTTACCTGTTACATTGATTTGGAATCCAAATCAGCTCTGCGAACTTACTTTCTTAATCTTATGGTAGGGCGCAAAGATTGACGAAGAATTTCTAGAGCATGGTTTGCTCCCGTCTCTTCATATGTAAAAAAAACCTTATCGCCCCTTTATCGAGGACAGGGACGAATACTCTTTGAAATGATGGGACGGGCTTATGATGCGATCGCCATCGAAAGGTGTACGATAAGTCCAACAACGATTTACTTCTTGTGGCGAGTCAATAACCTCCTACCGTATGAATACCGTAACTGACCAAACAGAAACAGCGTGCAATAGCGAAAACTTCCTTGGCAATCCGTATAAATCTTTTCTTATATGATCTACATCAAATTGTGTTACACTAGTACGGCATAAGGCTTTCTAATTAGTACAGTGGCGCTCACGCTGAAGAAGGAGGCCTCAGTACTGATCAGAAAACAAACTGGGTAAATTGTGCCTTGGAGTGTTTCGAAATCGTGATTAAGTGTGCTATTTGCAAAACTTTTTTCGCGCAAATAGTAATTTATATATCTGTCGGAACAATTTAGGGCACAATTCATCCAGTTTTATGTTCTCTAATCGGTACCGAGGCATCCGTCTTCAGCGTAGGCGCCACTTTACTGATCAAAAAGCGGGAACAATCTAACCTTTTGCTTCCACTTCACAAACAAATCCAATCAGCATATTATTGCAATCTCCTGTGACCCATTTGCCACTCGGTGCTCCGTCGATCATCATAAACACACATTCCGCGATTCCACTAGGATAGCCTAAAATATCAACAATCGTTGAACAAATGGCCATCAACTCGTTAGCGAGAGCTGGTCTCCAAAAATTCAGTGGAATAAGTTATTTTTACCTGGATAAAATGCGCTGTACTGATCTGGTGCTCCTTGGCCATCGTCCCATCTACAATTTTTCGCGTTCTCATCGGGACATCTTAGACCTAGCCAAACCATAGTATCAGCTTTTTCAGCTAGATCTTGGATCAGTGCGTTAGTCTGAATCAAATATAAATTGAATAAAGGAGTCAAAACAGTTTGGGACTGACAAAAGCATTGTGAATGGAAGCTAATCGACCACCATCGTTTGAACACTGAACCGAAGCGTCCAAATAACTGCTGTGATTTGCAAAAACCTGAATAGGATCAGAACTGCAATTTTTAGATAACTTATTATCGTACTTTGTAGCATGAGTCCCCAGCTCCACTAGAATAGCCAGATGGACAGCTGAGAGCATTCACTGAAATGAAATGATACGGAATTTGAGAGGACTCCTTGCGTAAATGAAAGCTCCATATGTTTTAAGGTGCAAAAGACTTTACATTTTTTGTGAACCAAGTTTTTCGTGTTCATATTAGAGAAGAATTTTGTCTCGAGAAATGATGAAAAAAGAAGGCTATTCCCACCTGAAGTTACGTCTGGTAACCTTTTTTTGATCTTATAAGTTGTTATTCGTTCATTTCATTTCCTTGCATCAGACATCTATCTACTTTACCAATTATGGTCGCTTGTCTCAGACACAAAAATATTTCGAAGGAACAATTCACTTTCCAATCGAAGAAAATTTGTGTGCTTGAGAGAAGGTGAAGGTTTACGGAGTATTCAAGAATCGGGATATTACAAACAAATACAAGGCAAAGAAATTTTTCCGACTATGCCAATTTACGTTTTGTTTTGTTGACCTATCACAATCTATGTACTATTAGGTAATACAACTAAGAAGCGACTTTTTTTGATTGTCACACTGAACTCCTCTGAAAAGTGGAGTTGTCATTGGAATTTTTCATAGTATTTGCCTTTTCTAAAAAATAATTTTAGCGTTGAATTATATTCTCTTATATAAAATTGAGTGTCAGTATGTGTTAGGCTGCTGCATAAATTTTGTCCGATTTTTTTGCCTTTTTTTAAAAGAGCAGTTCTAGGAGATTTTTACAAGTGGTGCGATGATATGTACCATTAGAAAGCGGTAAATTAATATTGGGGGTGGTAATTTGGCGGTTGAAAATATCTCTCGGCACCGAAAACCCTATGAGCACGTTTGAGCTGTGAAATAATCTTCGAAATTTTCTCTAACCCACGGCTACCTAATATGCCTGTTAGTTCTCATAAGGGAGCATTGCCATGCCAAAAAGACAGTCTGAAGAAGAACGCCGTAACGTTTTTAAGTTCTTGCTTCTTTTCTAATAGGGTTTCTCGCAAGTACTAGTATTTTTCTGAAAGCCAAAAAACTGCTTAACACAGAGGAACTAAGATTACGAAAAAGTTTGATTTGAAAGAATTTGTGATAATTTGAATTCGAAAATCAAAACTGAACAGAACAAAGTTTGAGTTGAGTTGCGGGGCTGGGAGTTGACACAAGAGTGGGTGAGGGTATTGGATACAAGTACAATATTGACTTTTAAGTCCATCAAATACCTTCATCGATTTCGTCGGTTATCGGCTTTGAGATGGGAATTAAGTGCTGGAAAAAGGCAAGGGTATTTGAGCATCATGATGGCGAAAATAATATCAATTTGGAGAGGTCCAATGTAATTAATTGTTTTGTCGAATTTTTACAAAGTGCTTAAAGAGCTGTGAAGTGATATAGAGGGGTAAAGAAGCATGCTGGTTACGAAATTTTAGCGGAGAAACGGCATAACAAAAGTGGTGCAGGTCAGTGTAATGTTCTACAAAAAAATAATGGCTCCTGAAAAACTGTGTATTCACAGGGCCAGGAGGAGCTGGATATGCCCCTTACTGCACTAATACAACTAGCTGCACTATTGCTCTACTTCCTAGCTCTCACACTTTGGAATATGTAAAAAAAAATTCCATGAACGATTTCTTGACGCAAACTTGATGTAATTGGCATTAATGAGGAAGTAATTGACACGAAGCACACTCAAAATTTTTGAAAGGTCAGACGGTTGTCGAACGTCAAAGTTATTTCAATTGTCCAAAGCTAGATTTTTGTATTTTGACTTTCCTTTCAATTTGTAGTCTTGAATTTCTAAATCAAAATTTTTGGGAGAAAAAAGCTTGACTTGATACTTAGCACGGACTATCAGCTGACGAAAGATAAAGGATTCGACGTTTTCAATCTTTTCGGATCAGCCGAACGCATTCTATCAGGTTGTCACGAAAATAATGTCGTTTTTGGGGTACTGTTCGGTAGAGCATTGCAAGCTCTACAAAAAGGCATTCGAATATTTGCTGCAAATTTGTTCCGTATAAAGTTTGAAGAGAAAATCTAAAAACATTTAACTGCATGAAAACCTTGAGAAAAATCGTAAATTCGTCTAGAAAAGTCCTATGAAATTCTCAGTTGCTTAGACATACACCCTCAACATCTGATATTTACCTGTAAATTTGTTCATTCCATGGCTAGAACTTGAGAAACATACATACCTCAAAATAGGTCAGATATACGAAAAAGTCGTCTTTTTCGGGGGTTTTTGCCCTAAATTCAATATTTCTCAGAAATTATCGCTGTAAAAGGCAAAAAATTCATAATATTACTTCAAAAGGTGCATTTTTGTACAATTACCTACGTGGAAGCAGCTCAGCACGGTTTTGGCAAAAAAGGAAAATTATTTTTTTTTTCATTTCTAGCCATGGAAAAAAATTAGCAAAATCACAGATGAGTACCAGATGTGGCAAGTATTTGCATGATCAAGTAAGAACCTCGTAGGATTTTCTAGACAGAGATACGATTTTTTTCGGTCCACGCATTTAAGTTTTTTAGATTTTGGTTTCTAACTCTATTTGGAACAAACTTTGAGCAACTATTTATTTAGACGCTATCTTGTAGAGCTTGCATTGCTCCATCGAACTGTACTCCGCATGCATTTTTGGGGTTGTTTGGGTTGCGGTGCCATAGCATGCAAATTGAAAGCGACATTATTTTCTTGACAACCTAATACTTCAGAGGCTAATGAAGGTTTGCACACCTTTGGTCCAGCCGGGATCAAGTCAGAGTTTTCGTCCTTTAAGACTACTCTGGTACCAATCCACCGTCCCCAGAGGGTAGAGGGCTCGGTTGGACCAGGGCGGAATCGAACTTTGATCCGATCTGTTCATAGCGGCGCCTCATACCACTACGCCACTCGTCCGCACTGTCAGCTTACATGTAGCGATTCTTCGCTATGTATTTTACTACAATCTTGAAGAAGTACGCCGGAGCTCTTCTGTACCATAAGATTTGGATTCAATCAATTTCTTGCAATCAATTTTTGAGTTTTCAAATATCGTGAGAGTTCGATCGAATGATATCCAAGCACTGAATGTGTGCGAAAATGTATTGTAAATCTAAAACTTTTTGTTTGCCTCTTTTTTTTATCTAAACCTAGTTCACAAATTCAAATACTAAGGAAATATTAGAAAAAAATTGTAATTTATGGTACTCACGGCAGTAGAACAGTGAAATTACTGCAATTGCAGAAGAAAGCATTGTTGTAACCAGATTGAAGGTACACAAAGTGTTCCTTATAATACGCCTTCACAAGCGGAATCAGTGATAAGAGGCTTACTTACCTTATCAGGAGAAAAATTTGAAATGGGCATTGAATCATGTCATCGCGCACCTCTAAGCAAAAAAAAAAAACTGATAAGGAGGAAAAAATGTGCTATAAGACAAGGTTTTATCGTTGAAGTTAATCTCCGTTTCGTCAGATGACTTTGTTCCACCAGCGGAGTGAGATGCTGAAAGACTGTATGTGCGTAGGCGTTATCTATCTTATGGCATATAAATCGTGCGGGGAGGAGGAGATGTTAGAGACGATGAGAAGATCAAGGAGCACTTGGATGGGATGAGCAAGTTAAAACACCCTACACCAGTAGTAGCTCAGCGAATGGTGTACAATGGCACAGTTTTTGATACCTTGGTATCAATTTGTCGCGAGAAGCGGAGGTCGCCGCGCCCAAGGTGATAGAAGCCTGTTGAAATTTGTCTAGGAATGAATCTCCATTTGAACAGGAAGGGTGCATACATTGCCACGGCTAATGAATTCGCTTCTTTTCTGCAGTTATGCGGTTTGATCTGTAACCGCTGCAACTTAGGTACATAGCTCACTATTTACACAAAGAATTCTTTCGTCAGTAGTGTCCGTGACCCGCCCACGGTAAAGATCTTGGGTGGTAATGCAAGGTACCATCGTTTCCGTTTTCTAGGCAACTTTACGTTTGTTTTTGGGGACATTTTGAGGAACGAGACTCATTCCTACTTAAAGGCTCCGACGGAAGCGAGTTTGCGGAGATGTAAGCCAGAACAAAACGTGTAACATTCTTAGTAGAGGTTAAACTACTCTAGATTGAAAGTTAAACATGGAGACTTATTAGGTTAGGATATAGGTTAGACTTATTATAGGTTATAGACTCATTATTAGGTTATAGGATAGCTTATGTCATGCACCTAAATTCTCAAAATTTTCAAAAGCTTCTGAAAGATCTCATGTTTACGGCATGTGACCATGGTCAGAAGGCCTATTCGCTGGTAATGGCGCATACGTGATAGTGGATTGGCTTCAAAAATGATTCTAATTAATGCATGTGGTAAGGAAAATTACGAAGCTAAAGGGAAAACTAGACCCTCACTTAGCTTTTGCGTTATTCTCTTATTTACCATGACAGCTATCCAAAGTGCTAGTCAAAGCCTTGAGTGTTCTAGATGCCGCAAATCATGACGTAATGATATCTGAAGTGCTGGCCAATCTTATTGCAAATTCATAGGATACAGGGTTTCTCGAATGGTAATCAGTCTTAACTTGCAAAAGACTGTTAGCCAAGTCCTGGTACAGAACATCAATTCTTGGAAATAACGAATCCAAAGACCTAAGCGAAATGAAGTAGAAGGAATATTAAATTGCCAAAATTGTCAATAAGATTTGTTGTATCCGGAGCTAAAAAGAAGACGCGCGATTTAAATTTTAGATACGCCTTCATAAGCGCAGTCAGCGATAAGAGCTTTACTTACCTTATCAAAGAAAAATCATAACTTAGCTCTAAAATATGCTATTGCACGTTTTCAGTCGTGATTTTTGCACGGTGTAAAGTAGAATTGTGCTACACTTGTATGTGTATCACTTTATACAGTCAGTTTTCAGTTCATCAAAGCATTTAATCGCCGAAAAGGACGATCTTACGAGTTCCTCCTCCATGATTATAGCTTTGTAAATGTCGCCATCTGATCTCTAAAAACTTGAGAGATTGTGAAAATTTTCTCAAACAAATACGAAGGAGGTTAGGAGGTTCGCGGGCGAT